GAAGTGGTGCTGGCTCCTACCCTGGGGGTCTTTAACAGGAGGCTAGATTAACACCTTGCTGGGGTCGTTTGACCCCAGTACTCTTTCCTGCCATGGCAGGGGGTCGGACTAGATGATCTGCTAAGGTCCCTTCTGACCCTAGAAACTATGAAACATCAGTAGGAAAGCCTTTTGCAAAATGATCTTCCTGATTTGTGAGTGTTGGGTAGACTTTCTCCCCTCAAACAGCTCTCTCCCTTGCTGTGCAGGAAATCTGTGAATCAGCTGAGGAAACCATTCTGGACTTGATTGATTACAGCCATCGGAAACTGACCCTGCTTGCAGCTCGGAGTGCCAATGGAGAGATACCAGACCAGGAAAAGCTTCAGCCTGAGGACTTAGCCAATGTTTCATCCATGCAGGTGTGTTAAAGGTACAGGCTCCCAACTTGTGGGAGATCTGCCAATCTTGTGTGTAAGGAATTTACCCTGGGGAAGGATACATTTTCATAATTAGAAACACCATAGTTACAGTCATCTGGGGGCTCTCCTATCAACAACTGGATACTTCAGGCCACGTAATCTAATGAGTAAATCCGCCATGCCCATTTCTCTAAAGGAATTCTGTGTTGATGAAATAGTCTTGATTCATAATTTGTTCATGCTAGCTGTTAAGCATGAGCATAGGAGATGTCCAACTTTGTCCACAACTGTGTTTCAACTATGACCTTATGAAACTGTCTCTTAGGGCAAGAGGGCAATCCAGTCTCTAGGTTTTATTTGCCCTTTGAGTCCTACACTGACACTAGCAGAAAGAGAACTGGTCAAAGTTAAATACAATGATGATTTTTTTCCCTCTGAGCTCTTCATAGGTTTCCATTTGGAGCTGATGATTTATTTCACACAGGCCATCTAGCCCCCATGAGAGGGTAATAACTCATTCCCTTTTCTGAGTGTTTCATTGCAGCTGTGCCACATTTTACAAGCTGATCTCTGGTATGAGACTGTCTTGTGCTTCCGGGATTTTTTCTCATCTCTCAACATTCTTCTTTGTAAATGGGATAGGTCATTGAAAGCTTCTGGTGAAATGGACTCCAAGCAAGATCCAGCAACTTCAGCAACAGTTTCCAGTTGGCTTCCTGCCCAAACTTAGGGTCATCCTCTAAAGCTGCAGAGGAAGTCAAGAGCTCCTGAGAACAATGGGGCTGTTTTCCGGAAATGTTTCCCCATTGGGGGTCTTAGTTAATGCTTGGAATTGGTTCATGGGAAATGACCTTTCCCAGCTATTATAGCTCTGAAAACTGCCTGTCCTGTGAGGAATCTAGTTTTCTCAGGTCTGTTACAGTCTACTAATGTTACCCACAACAACCAACCCTGTGACAAGGTCAAACCAACCCTCCTCCATAAGGGAGCCTATTGCGTGTGCCATGGTAGCATCTAGGAGCTACTATGCCAACTACATGCAAACAGAGACCAGAAAAATGATACCTGCCTCAAGAAGCTCATAATTCAAGTGCATGACAAGAGACAATAAGTGGATCTGGGCAAAGAAGCACAATAAAATAATAAGATACTGTTGATCAGTTTTATGCTCAGTGCTCTCAGTCAAGTTTTTAGTAGGCATCATGGTAATGGTGAGTTTTAAGGAAGGATTTGAGAATGAGGTGATTTTGCGGATACCTACATGGAGCCCCTGCTGTAAATAGGAGGCAGGACAAGAAAAAACACAAAAGGTAGTTGTTTGAAAATGTAACAAGTGGGTAAAGAAGGATAGAACTCCTGGCTGGTCGGGGTAGGAGATAATTGGTAGTGTGTAGTAGGCTACAAATGACAGAGTCAGGGCTGGGTATAGAGCTTTCCTTGTTGTGACCTTATTGTCAGGTTCAGTTTCTGATGGCTGCAAGAAGCCTGGAGCATTTATGACAAGGGTTAGTTGCTATATGAATAAGTGCTTCCACCCTCTGATCTTGGTCTATGTAGCTTTTGGGGGTTGTGTAGCTTTTAGTTTTATGTTTGTCCTGGGAGCAGAAATCAGCCTTATACAGTATGAGTTTGTTACCAAGGCCTTGGTTCCTGAGAGTAGCCCTCTAGGCGCACTGCTCACCCCAGATCTAGTATGAATATAAGTGTTTGTGTTTTCCCCTGTTAGGAGCTGCAGAAGCAAGCTGAGATGATGGAGTTTGAGATCTCTCTGAGGGCCCTGTCTGTGCTCCGATTCATCACCGACCAGGTAGAGAGGTAAGCAGGTGCCACTCATAAGAGAACAAAGGGATATGCATAAAATATGAGCTAGGCTTGCTTAAGGCATTGCATTGTTCTACTGGTGTTATCCCACCCCTGCCAAGAGATGAGGACTCTCACTTTTGGTGCTAGTGGTATACATGAAGTCTGGGTCCAACCCTGGGACCTGGATCCTGAGCACTTGGGTGACCAATTTATCTCAGTGACTCACATTTTTGGTGGTTAATGAGAGTCTTGTTACCTGTTCTCATATGTCTCCATCAATGCTGACCTCATGAAAGAACACCTTGAGAGGTCGGATACATTCAAGTCAGCTGGCCCTGACAATCTACACCCCAGGGTACTCAAGGAACTGGTGAGCATCATAGCTCAGCCTCTGGCATGGATCTTTGAGACCTCCTGGCACTCTGGTGAAGTGCCCGAAGACTGGAAGAAGG